AACTATAGAGCTAATTACATAGGATAGGTAAATGAAATACAATGATATATAATACAGTACAAAATTATTAGTTGGTGTAACAATTGCGACAAAGAATAAAATGTGATAATGTACATACAATTCGATACAAAGAATGAAATACGGAAATAATTATACAATATTATAAATGAAATAAAGTGTACAGAACTAGTGAACAAATTACATTATATGTATAATAATATAAGATAAAATAAAGTGTATAGAACTAATGAACAAATTACATTATATCTATAATAATATAAGATGAAATAAATTAATATACTGTAAAGGAACTAACAAACAAAATCACGACATGTAAATAATATTTAGGAATAAATACAATTAAAAATAAATACAATTATAAATACAGAAAGGTTATATAAAATTATTAGGGGATAAAATACACAGAAACTATTGAACTAATTACATAAAAATACTTAAATAAGATACAAGTAAGTAATACAGAACAATAACTGTTAACAGAATAGTAATCGCGACAATGAAGTTATGTACATACAGTTCAATATAGAATTTAAAATAAAGTACAATATACAGAAACTATTATGATAAGAATAATTAGATAAAATAAAATCAAATTAAATACTATACAAAAACTAGTGACCAACAATACATTATGTTAAATATTAAATCTAGGAATACAGACAAGCAAATACATTGTAAAGAATTGTGCTCGACATACAAAATTTTGCTGGCATGTATTAACATAAATTAATATACCACATGCAAAAATGTAAATCCGTATATTACAATATCACAATCTGGATTGCATAGTAAAAGTCTTAATTGGACTTCATTTCACCACAGTTCAAAATTGTAGTCTTGGACAAATTATCATAACACAATAGTTATAAAGCTGTAATATACAGTATAATATCACTGTTGCATAATAAGAGTTATAATTAACTTGCACCACAGTAAAAGGACCATATAAGCCGCTTCTGTGTAGACACAAGAGATCCGATGAATAGCTGAGTTGTAATTGTAACTCAAACTTAATGAACACATCATCGAAACATATAAGCACCCACTATATTAATGTAACTAAGTACATTAACTGAATGAGGGTTCTAATGCACCAGTATTTTTGATAAAGTTTTCAAGAGTAGCGAAGATATCCTTATCCTCCACCAATATCTTCATTGGGCATGGCCAGTTGAAACCTTTCTCCAAGACTATCCTCTCCAAAGCGGTTCGTTGATCATCAAATTTAAAACAGTCAAAAATAAGATGATAAGCATTTTGGATGCTGGTATGGTCACATTCACAGAGAGGGTGATCACGATGCCCAAAACGGTGTAAATAGTATTGGAAGTTCCCATGATCCGTTATAATTTGAGTTGTGTAGAAATTGGTATTAAAGTTTTTATTCCGTAGTCTAGTTGATATGTCAGGAAAGAACCGGAAAGTTGTCCTCCCTGTTTCACCTTCCTCCCACTCACGTTGCCAGATCTGTATTGCTGTATTGTGAATAACATTTTTGATTATAATATAAGAAACTTCCCAGTAAGAGGGAGTGACATTGGATGTAGCGGCTTGCTTAGCCATGAAGTCTGCCATGTTATTCCCTTCGTTGCCGGAATGGCCTTTTATCCATGAAAAGGTCACTTTGTTGTTTGTACTATTTATTTCATTACGAATTAAAGTAGCGAGGGTTCCTTTATTATTTACTATTCTCTTGATAGCAGCCTGACTGTCAGAGCAAATCTTGATATGCTTATTTTTAATTTTAGTTTTATTAATATGTTTTGCTGCCTGAAGAATTGCAAACAACTCTGCTTGTGTGATTGTACAGACGTCAGCAAGCTTAAAGCAAGCTTTATAAGAGATATTATCTTTGGAATCCCTGACCACAAAAGCAGATCCCACCTTACTGTTATTTTTGGATCCATCAGTAAAAATCCTGAATTGTGATATAGGATCATCATTATAGTCCGTTACCTTAATATCTTCTGTTAAGCTTGGATGTAATTCATTAGTTATCATTTCCTCCTTCAAATTTGATTTCAAAGTATTAAGAAGGTATTCATTAAGATTAGGAAATAACCCAATTTGAATATATTTATATATTTCACTATTCTGATTGTCTATAATTCCTCCATTTTTAAGGTGCCACTTCCACATTTCTTCTTTTGCCCTTATATGTAGAGGCAGTACACCAGACAAGACTTGTAGGGCAGCTGTCGGGGCCGTTCTATATGCCCTGCATAACCTTAGTAACATTAATCTTTGGGCTTTGTTTAACTTTTTCTTAGTACGGGTATTGTCTACCATCTCAGCCCAGAACGGAGCACCATAGAGTATAATTGTTTCAATACACGCTTTATATATAATTTTGATTGATTTCTCTTTAAGCCCCCATTTTCTATTACAGATACATTGTAATGCATTAGATATTTTGACTGCCTTATTGGTAACATTAGTAATGTGAGTTGCCCACTTCATGTTTTGATCTAGGGTGATTCCTAGATATTTCAAGTTATTAGTATTTTTAATTTTGTTCATATTCATTAGTATCCTCAGTGGTTTTTTAAGTTGACTTCCTTTAGAAAGTACCATGCACTCACATTTGTTAAAATTAATTTGTAAATAATTATTGGTAGACCAGTCATAAATCTTTTGTAAAATTTTATTTGCATCTCTCTGTAATGTCTCGTTGTTGTTATTTGACATCATCACCAAGGTGTCATCGGCATATCCCTGGATCTTATATGAACTTAACATAGTATCTTCTTCATTAAGTTGTAGTAAGCTATCATAAACGATATTCCAGAGGCCCGGCCCTGAACGGGACCCTTGGGGGCAACCCCTGGATAAGGTACGGACAATACTACTACCAAATTCATAGATCCCCGCAGTCCTATTATCGAGATAATTAAGTAGAATATTGTAAAGATTTCTAGGACAATCGAAGCATCTAAGTTGATTTAACAAGGCGGGCCACCACAACGTATTAAATGCATTTTTAAAGTCAATAGCTATGAGTAAAACATGTTCTCCTATTCTCCAAGATTCGTTTATATAATTCATAACCTCGTGTATGGCATGATATGTAGATTTACCTCTAACGAAACCATATTGCTGATTATTTAATACTTTTTTGTTATTGAGGAAAAAGTTTATCCTGTTTATGATAAGACCATCCAAAACCTTACCAGGTACAGAAAGAAGACTTATTGGTCTAAATTTATCCGCTCTAGTAATATTTTCATTGTCTCCTTTAGGTATAAATTTAACTTTGGCTTGTTTCCATTTTTCGGGGAAAATCCCTTCTTGTAAGCACCTATTATAAATGTATACCAAGGCTGTTGGAATAGCTTTAAATGCATTTTTGAGCATTAACGGTGTTATACCATCTAAGCCTGGCGCCTTACGGTTTTTAATTGATTTAACTGCTTTGTTAACTTCTTTGTAAGTGAAGTAACAATCATCCTCGTTGTCTAAGATGTCTTTTATTTTACTTCGGATATGTTTTTGTTGGTTATTGTCTTTTGAGACATCATCTGGCGGAAAATGAACGTCCATTAGGTGTTCCATTGTCTCTTGGTATGTTTTAGTGTAGCTTCCGTCTTCTTTATTAAGGTTAATTGGAATACTAATATTTTTCCTAGGTTTGCATATAATGTAGTAAGGATCTGACCACACTGATAGCTCTCCCATTCTTGTACAATATACCTTCCAAGCCTCAGTACGTGCTTTGTTAATTTGTGTTTTATAATTATTAAGAGATTGTCTGTATATTTCTCTAAGTTCAATTTTTTGAGTAGAGTCCGAGCATCTTTGAAATTTCTTTAATTTTGCCCTTACTTGTTGTCTCAACTTAGCCAGATCTCTATTCCACCAACAAGCTCCCTTTTTTGTGCTTACATATGTAGTAGAAGAGCTGTGATATGCCTCGATAATTGATTTACTATATAATTCTACTATACTATTAATATCTCTATCGTATGGATCTATCTTTAGCCAAATGTCTTTGAAGATTTCCTGAAAAAGATTCCAGTCTGTACGATACTTCATTTCCTCATTATCATTACCTGACCTTATGTTTTGCAACTTCCAGCGGATATACCGATGATCACTTGCTGTTATTGTATCTGAAGTTTCACAGAAGGAAACTAAATTATGGGATCTAGTATTAGTCATACAAATGTCAACCCAACTTTCACCACGAACAGTGAAAAAGGTTGGGAGATTACTAGTATTTCTGGAAGTAAATTGATTTCTAGCCATAAATTCTACAACCATTTGTCCTCTAACATCACCAATAGGACTATGCCAAATTGGAGATTTGGCGTTAAAGTCTCCACCTATTAACCAGTATTCCTGATCAATATTAGTGTATATGTTGTCCAAATCGGTGATAAGGTTTTCGAGTTGCTCATTAGGAGAACAGTACACAGATGACAAATAAATATTAGAATCATTAAAGATTATAGAGATAGTTGTAACTCTTTCAGTACTAAGAGCCGGGCAAAATTGAGCATTAATGTTCTTATTTCGAACTAAAATCCCAGTAGTAAGACGTGTAGTAAAATCCCTTGGAGGAAAAGTTCTCCAACGTCCAAACCGCACTATGCTATTGTCCACCAAATAGGGTTCCTGTATTAATATTATGTCTGTGTTCCAATCATCAGCCGTTTTAAGTAAAAGAGAAGAGGCAGCTTTACATCTCTGTAAGTTTATCTGTGTTATATTAACACTATTAATATTCTGTGTACTTGCCATATTAGCAGATACTCTGTTGTTTTAATTTATACAATCGTTGTTCCTAAATGCCATAGTTTGTCTGCTTAATGCTCATATATATTAGAACACCTTAATTTTGCTGAGAATTATATATTTTAAACACAAACGCTTTCAACCTGATTAACAGGTTGAAAGCGTTCAACCTGATTGTGTTTAAAATATATTATTCTCAGCAAAATTAAGGTGTTCTAATATATATGTTTACTTGCTGAGCACGTTTAAGGCTTAATGCTCTGTTGTTTTAATCTTTGTGTAATTTGGCATTGAGCATAAAAAGCATTATGATCTGTTGGAATGTGTTTACCATTAGGAAGATCCTGATTATGTTCATCACAGTTAATACAAAGTGGTATTTTATGCCTTCCATTACATTCAGTGTATTTATGCTCTCTACCGCAGTGGCTACAGGTAAGACGATTGGTACAATCACGGGCTAGGTGATTGTATCCACAACACTTATAACATCTAAGTAAGGAGATAAAATCGTCTACACGAACACTGGCCCAGCTGAGCGACATATATTTCCTGCTTAATATAACGTTTCGTATTTTAGGTGGCACTGAAATAATAACATGACCACAATTTTCTTTAACTTTTCCCCTAAGTAATATTGTTCGTACTTTATATTCTTCTAATACCTCCTCTTTAGTAATTTTACCCCATATATCATTTTGTTCATATAACGCCTCTATTAAATCTTCTTCAGGTATTGAATTAGGAACGTTGAGAAGAATCAAACGTGGTTTTTTACCTTCCGCCTGTTTACATTCTATTTTATCTGCCACTTCAGGTAAAGCTTCTATAGCAGTACTTAAAATTTGACAATCCTTTACATTTCCAACTCGAACACATATTCCATCACCTTTGATTTTAAACATAGATTTTACCTGTATTCCCAATCTATGTGGTTCGACCCTTTGCTTAATAGTGTTGGCTACCTCTTCCATATTTATTCTAGGACCACCCTCTGATTGTCTAGGATAGACTAATAAGGCATGATTGCCACCCATGCCTTCCTTATCGATTTTGCTATTTAATGTTTTTTGTATAACCGATGTTGTTTTACTTTGCTTTAAATTGGTTTTGAGAATCTCAGCATAGGATAACGAGTTTGATGTATTGGCAGAAGTTATGTTATTGGTTGTAAATGATGCACTAGTGTGTCTAGTCTCCTTCACGATGCCCAGTAGTTGATACACACATCCAAACAGCTTAGTAACTTTCTCCCTTACTATCATTCTTTGTGATTTAGTAATATTGTTGGTATAAGTTTTTGGCAATAGTCCTAGAATGCCTTCAAGAAGTTCNAATAAATATTAGAATCATTAAAGATTATAGAGATAGTTGTAACTCTTTCAGTACTAAGAGCCGGGCAAAATTGAGCATTAATGTTCTTATTTCGAACTAAAATCCCAGTAGTAAGACGTGTAGTAAAATCCCTTGGAGGAAAAGTTCTCCAACGTCCAAACCGCACTATGCTATTGCCCACCAAATAGGGTTCCTGTATTAATATTATGTCTGTGTTCCAATCATCAGCCGTTTTAAGTAAAAGAGAAGAGGCAGCTTTACATCTCTGTAAGTTTATCTGTGTTATATTAACACCATTAATATTCTGTGTACTTGCCATATTAGTAGATACTCTGTTGTTTTAATTTATACAATCGTTGTTCCTAAATGCCATAGTTTGTCTGCTTAATGCTCTGTTGTTTTAATCTTTGTGTAATTTGGCATTGAGCATAAAAAGCATTATGATCTGTTGGAATGTGTTTACCATTAGGAAGATCCTGATTATGTTCATCACAGTTAATACAAAGTGGTATTTTATGCCTTCCATTACATTCAGTGTATTTATGCTCTCTACCGCAGTGGCTACAGGTAAGACGATTGGTACAATCACGGGCTAGGTGATTGTACCCACAACACTTATAACATCTAAGTAAGGGGATAAAATCGTCTACACGAACACTGGCCCAGCTGAGCGACATATATTTCCTGCTTAATATAACGTTTCGTATTTTAGGTGGCACTGAAATAATAACATGACCACAATTTTCTTTAACTTTTCCCCTAAGTAATATTGTTCGTACTTTACATTCTTCTAATACCTCCTCTTTAGTAATTTTACCCCATATATCATTTTGTTCATATAACGCCTCTATCAAATCATCTTCAGGTATTGAATTAGGAACGTTGAGAAGAATCAAACGTGGTTTTTTACCTTCCGCCTGTTTACATTCTATTTTATCTGCCACTTCAGGTAAAGCTTCTATAGCAGTACTTAAAATTTGACAATCCTTTACATTTCCAACTCGAACACATATTCCATCACCTTTGATTTTAAACATAGATTTTACCTGTATTCCCAATCTATGTGGTTCGACCCTTTGCTTAATAGTGTTGGCTACCTCTTCCATATTTATTCTAGGACCACCCTCTGATTGTCTAGGATAGACTAATAAGGCATGATTGCCACCCATGCCTTCCTTATCGATTTTGCTATTTAATGTTTTTTGTATAACCGATGTTGTTTTACTTTGCTTTAAATTGGTTTTGAGAATCTCAGCATAGGATAACGAGTTTGATGTATTGGCAGAAGTTATGTTATTGGTTGTAAATGATGCACTAGTGTGTCTAGTCTCCTTCACGATGCCCAGTAGTTGATGCACACATCCAAACAGCTTAGTAACTTTCTCCCTTACTATCATTCTTTGTGATTTAGTAATATTGTTGGTATAAGTTTTTGGCAATAGTCCTAGAATGCCTTCAAGAAGTTCCCCTGCTTCATGTATTACACAGTCTTCTGGAGAACTGAAAGATTCTTCAAAGTGATCATCTGCTGTTGAGATTTGGTCAATTGTAGCCGTCTTCGACATATCTTCTAACAATGTCGGGGTAACTCTCGGCTCCATTATGGACATAACAAATATAATACCCAATAAATTTAAAGATTTAAATTAGAAGGACGTGTACTGTGGAAAAGTGGCTCGGTGCCAGGGCAACACTGTACAATTAAGTTTAACACTCAACAGTACAGTGTGAAAAGAACCTCACTGATGACATTTATACTAAAAATAAATCGGAAATAATACGAGAAAAGATACTAAAAGCTTTTAATAATGCGAAAAACCAATCGGCCGTAAACTCAAAAAGAGTTTGAAAATGATGGTTACAACGGTCAACCGCTACCGGTGGAAAAACGGCCGTATCTCCCGAAAAAATAGGCCGATTTAAACTCCGTAAACGGTAATAGAAACCGGAAAGCTTCAGTAAAACGATAGTAACAACAAACTTCCTTTAACCTGCGATTTAACTTTAAAATTTCCGATAACACAGAGCACACTTACGCACAACAAACCAGCTTGCCGACGCCCTCTTGCGACCTCCTAACTCAATTTACAGGAGTTTGTTGTGATTTTATAAGACAGATTTAATTCCAATATTTTAAAGATTAATACAGTACTCGAATTTTCTCGATTATAATGCACACTGTCTTTTTTCCAACTTAATTAATTCAACTTGGTTGTTTTTGTTTGCTCCACAGTTACATGTATTACGTCATCAATATACAAGCGCATCGTATCTCTACATCACTTTGGTTTTGGTATTTGTTAGTTTAATCTTATTTTAACTTTAAAAATACTGCATTTTTTAATATTTAATATTTTCTTAAGTACAATAAGAAAAATTATTAATTAATAATAAAACNGAAGGGTTACCAATGACAATGATGACGAGAAACTATGAAGGAAATAGTTGTAATTGTTACCTGACAGTACAAATTTTAAAGATAAAGAGTACATTAACACATTTGTAGCGTTTTTGAGGAGAGTGGGAGGCCAATAGAAAATAAACACCAATTGGCATAATTGGATCACCATTCCGAACAAAATTAAATGGAATTGGCAGCTGGGGTACAACAAAATGCACCGGACTACAGATGGTGGCCCAACCGATACCAGCAGAAATAAAACAGTGTTACAATACATTAATCAGCACTGCTGGTGTTTACAGGAATGTTATATAGCGTACATTTACCATAATTAATTTACCTGTTTCCCCACCTCCTGTTCCACGAAAGGTGTATCTTTAGGCTGTGGCTAGTTGGTAGAACTGGTGGTCTCTCTACTGAAGCCATTGGTGCTTAGAGTCTTTGTTTTATACACAAATTGCGTTAGCCTTCTCCACAGTTTTTTGTTGCTAAATACTTCTGTTGGGTTTGGTGGCCAGTTCTGTCCCTCCATGAGGCATGCGCCTATGAACGGGAGTCTGTCGTTGTCGTATTTTGAGCATGTGTAGAGGAAGTGTTCCGCTGTGTCCTCACTGGACTCATCACAGTCGCAGAGGTTGTTGTCCATTTTACCGAAGCGGTGGAGATAGGCATGGAAGTTGCCGTGCCCGGTCAAAATTTGGGTAGTCTCGGCATTTGGAGTGTANTAAGAATAATTAGATAAAATAAAATCAAATTAAATACTATACAAAAACTAGTGACCAACAATACATTATGTTAAATATTAAATCTAGGAATACAGACAAGCAAATACATTGTAAAGAATTGTGCTCGACATACAAAATTTTGCTGGCATGTATTAACATAAATTAATATACCACATGCAAAAATGTAAATCCGTATATTACAATATCACAATCTGGATTGCATAGTAAAAGTCTTAATTGGACTTCATTTCACCACAGTTCAAAATTGTAGTCTTGGACAAATTATCATAACACAATAGTTATAAAGCTGTAATATAGGCCTACAGTATAATATCACTGTTGCATAATAAGAGTTATAATTAACTTGCACCACAGTAAAAGGACCATATAAGCCGCTTCTGTGTAGACACAAGAGATCCGATGAATAGCTGAGTTGTAATTGTAACTCAAACTTAATGAACACATCATCGAAACATATAAGCACCCACTATATTAATGTAACTAAGTACATTAACTGAATGAGGGTTCTAATGCACCAGTATTTTTGATAAAGTTTTCAAGAGTAGCGAAGATATCCTTATCCTCCACCAATATCTTCATTGGGCATGGCCAGTTGAAACCTTTGTCCAAGACTATCCTCTCCAAAGCGGTTCGTTGATCATCAAATTTAAAACAGTCAAAAATAAGATGATAAGCATTTTGGATGCTGGTATGGTCACATTCACAGAGAGGGTGATCACGATGCCCAAAACGGTGTAAATAGTATTGGAAGTTCCCATGATCCGTTATAATTTGAGTTGTGTAGAAATTGGTATTAAAGTTTTTATTCCGTAGTCTAGTTGATATGTCAGGAAAGAACCGGAAAGTTGTCCTCCCTGTTTCACCTTCCTCCCACTCACGTTGCCAGATCTGTATTGCTGTATTGTGAATAACATTTTTGATTATAATATAAGAAACTTCCCAGTAAGAGGGAGTGACATTGGATGTAGCGGCTTGCTTAGCCATGAAGTCTGCCATGTTATTCCCTTCGTTGCCGGAATGGCCTTTTATCCATGAAAAGGTCACTTTGTTGTTTGTACTATTTATTTCATTACGAATTAAAGTAGCGAGGGTTCCTTTATTATTTACTATTCTCTTGATAGCAGCCTGACTGTCAGAGCAAATCTTGATATGCTTATTTTTAATTTTAGTTTTATTAATATGTTTTGCTGCCTGAAGAATTGCAAACAACTCTGCTTGTGTGATTGTACAGACGTCAGCAAGCTTAAAGCAAGCTTTATAAGAGATATTATCTTTGGAATCCCTGACCACAAAAGCAGATCCCACCTTACTGTTATTTTTGGATCCATCAGTAAAAATCCTGAATTGTGATATAGGATCATCATTATAGTCCGTTACCTTAATATCTTCTGTTAAGCTTGGATGTAATTTATTAGTTATCATTTCCTCCTTCAAATTTGATTTCAAAGTATTAAGAAGGTATTCATTAAGATTAGGAAATAACCCAATTTGAATATATTTATATATTTCACTATTCTGATTGTCTATAATTCCTCCATTTTTAAGGTGCCACTTCCACATTTCTTCTTTTGCCCTTATATGTAGAGGCAGTACACCAGACAAGACTTGTAGGGCAGCTGTCGGGGCCGTTCTATATGCCCTGCATAACCTTAGTAACATTAATCTTTGGGCTTTGTTTAACTTTTTCTTAGTACGGGTATTGTCTACCATCTCAGCCCAGAACGGAGCACCATAGAGTATAATTGTTTCAATACACGCTTTATATATAATTTTGATTGATTTC